AGAAAAATCATAATCAAATATAATATTCCTCGACATCATGTAACGTATAAAAACAAAAATTGGAGAAAAGTACTATCACTTGGCCAAACTTATAATTTTGCTCTTAATACCAAGATCGCCGCAAAAATCGATTAGATTTGTAGTAGGTTGAAGTGTCTAATAAATATGAAAATCACCATTAATATCATTAAACTATTAAATTCACTTGTTTGATGAAAACATTTGATGTTTTACCCCGTATATTGCTCATTCCTTGGATACCTCCAAAGTTAACATAACCTTCTTCGTTTACTAAACCGTTTCCGGAAGCGGTAGAATCTTCTACCCACTCGCCTCGACAATAAACGCAAGTAACCTAGATCAAAGATAAATTATGACTAAATAACCAAATATTTTATTAGTATAACATAAGATTATTGCTTACTTTTCCGCTCCCACCACGTTTTGATTTCTTCCATTGCTCGAAGCAATCCTTGTGAAGGTTGTTTCCGCAACCTTCTTGGCACCATACGATATTATCGCGATCCTTTTCTTCCAAAGGTTCATAGCTATCAATATGAATTAATGAACGTTAATGGCGCATTTTTATTCCAAAGATAATCTTCAAAAACAAGTTAATAGGCATACCAGATAGGGCAATCTCCTTCGATTGGCCGGCGTTTCTCATCCGTGCTACTTTCAGCAGATGATTGAGAACTCTCTCCTGTAGTAAGCACTTTATAATGTTCACGAACTTTCTGGCTAGCCTATAAATAAGGTGTTTAATCATACATTAATTTAATAATTTAATGTTTTAAAAAGCATAGATCGCACGTTTACTTACCAAAATAGTCGGGTCTGGCGCAGCATTCGCAAAGATTGAAAGTAGTTCTTCAGATAAGAGCGCCTTTTGATATATATAGGGGCTTTCTCGCTTTAAGCGTAAAACTCTTAGATAAACAAAAATCTAAAATTATACATTGAAGTATTAGTAATTCAAAATTTTGAAATTAAATTCGCTCATGTCTTTCCGAAGTTATATGTACAATATGTTTACAAAGATTGCGCTTCATGAAATCTGGGCAAGTGCAGTTCGGCAAATGTGAAATCGTGACAGTGTAAACCTGGTGATTTTTTTTTAAAAAAAAAAATTAAAAGATGAATATGATGAATGTTTAGAAGGAAAAAAAATTATAAACCATACGTTTCCAGTTGAACCCAAGATAGCAAATTCTTGTTTTAATTCGTCAATTGTAGATCGACTAACCATGTACATACGTTGTGATTCAGCGCGATAAATACGATCATGAATAGGCTGCAAAAAAAAATGGGTTATAAACTATGCTATCAAATACATAAATTATTCAAATTACTCACAGCAGGACAGACGTGTCTGAAACGAGCTAACCGTTTCTCTACAAGAGGTTTTTCGGGTTTTGGCGCATTCTTTGGTTCCTCAACATCATTGTTTTCAGTATCAGTTTTATCACAAAGATCAGGAGCTTCCTCTTTATTAGTGATAGCGGGTTCTTTAACAGATTCTGTCTGTGCTGTTAACTCTTTATTTTTACGTCCACGTTTAGAAGGTTTTTCTTCTATTACCTTTTCATTCGTTTTTTGATCGCTACCCGTTGCTTGTTCAGCTGTGATATTATCTTCTATGACTGCTGCCTTTCGTTTACGACCGCGTTTCGGAACCGTTGTTTCATTAGCATTTTCAGATAAGTTAACTGTAGCTGAAACTATTGTATTTTTTGGCTTCCGTCCGCGTTTCGGTCGAGCAATCTCAGTTAAATTTGATCGAGAATCAGACTCTACAGCGGTCTGTTTTTTAATAGTAGAAGAGCGAGTAATAGGCTTTTGCAATGAAGTTCGTCCGTTTATACTCATACGCGTTTTCGTTTTCGTCATATTTGATACGAAAAAAAAAAAAAGTTAAGAACGCAGAAGTTGGTTCTTTAAGGATCCAAATATTTTTAATCGCAAAATTTGTAAAAAGATCCGGGGCACAATGATGTGTAATTTCTGGTTACAATACTTGATTTATA